GCATCATAAACAACCACTACGTTGATGACATGCTCGATAGTGTAGACACCGAGGATGATGCGTTCCGTCTAGCAACGGATGTACAACAAATTCACCAAAAAGGCGGGTTTCTCATCCGCAACTGGGTATCCAACTCTAAAACGGTTCTTAATCAGCTTATCGCTGAATGTGCGGCAGATATCAACCAAAAACAATCTGTCAACCGAAAAGGTACTTGGAATGTGGTGAGCGACCACAGAAGATTGCCTCACATTCAGAATGTCTGAGCGAATTAGAAGTAGTGACTTCATACGCACAAATCGACGGCCTACGAAGAGGCAAGTCCTCAGTCTTATCATGACTATATTCGATCCTCTAGGTCTAATTGGATACTTCGTTATGTACGCGAAGGGGATTATGCAAAATATTTGGCGAAGTAGGTGTTCATGGGATGAGCAAATTCCCGATGAAGTGTATCAGAGCTGACTGCGGTGGAAACAAAATCTTCCGAAAATGGAGGGCATCAAAATTCCACGCTGTTATATTCGCCAGACGTTGCCCTCGTATCCAGAATTGGAGCTACACACGTTTGTAGATGCGAGTGAGAATGGGTACGCGGCTGTTAGTTACTTCAGATACTACGAGGGAGAGAGTGTTAATTGCGTACTCGTTGCTTCAAAAACTAGGGTATCTGTCATCAAGATGTTAACAATTCCTCGCTCCCGTACGGTTTTGTCCTGGTTCAATAGGGATCATCGCCGCTACCAACAATTCGTTGCATATCGTATTAGCGAAATACTCAAAAAATACTGACCCAGTTGATTGATACTGGACATCGACGCATGACAACGTTGCTGATGAAGCCATAAAATGAAAGAGAGTTCCTGAAATAAGTGTCGACGCCCATTGGTTCTGAAGCTCGACTCGCAGAATTGGCCAGCACAGACCTTTGTATCTAATACGACTACTACTGAAGAACTTCGCGCACAATACGTAGGGGCACATCACGAAAGGCAGCTAAACGAATTTATCAAATTAGACGCAAATCGATAATCATCCTGGCGCCGTCCCCTTACCATGACCGCAGCAGTTATTTATTGTGCCAGGATTTGGTTGAACCAAATAAAGCATTCGCAAGATAGAGAAGCTAGCTATCGTACACCTCGCACCGAAGACTTCCAGCTGGCTGAAATAATGCTGTGGAAACAGGCCCAGCTTGACACCTTCAAAGATGAAATATTTTCGCTCAAAGACGGGAGGTACGTTTAACGCTCTAGTTAGATCTACAAACTATCTCCGTATCTAGATAGCAACAAAGTAATTCGTCTCGGTTCACGCTTATGCACGAGTGAGAAGAACGATTTAGTTATTCTTCCTAAAGATCATTATGTAACGTAACTGATCGTGTCCGATATTCACTCTAAATGTCAACATAGAAATTCAGAAACGGTGGTAAACGACGTCCGACGTAATTACTGGGGGCCTCGGCTAAGAGTGCTTGTCAATCAGGTGAAACGCCGATTTCCATATTGCAAAATTAACAGTGCGCTGCCCAAAACGCCTAGGATGGGCAATCTACCGCCTGCTAGAGTCGCTGCCTTCCACCGGCCGTTTTCATATGTCGGGTCGACTATTTTGGCCCGCTCTTGGTATCGATAAGGAGAAGCAGCGAAAAACGGTACGGAGTATTGTTCACCTGCTTCACGACAAGAGCGATCCATATCGAAATCGCTCACACTCTTTCAGCGGGCTCATCCATTTTTGCTATACGCTATTTTATTGCCAGAAGAGGTAATCCGGTGGAGTTTCGGACTGACAATGGCACAAATTTTAAGGGTGCGGAAAGGGAATTGCAAGCCGTTTTCGACCTAATGGATAAAAACGAAATCATCAGAACCTTTACCAGTCCTAAAATTACTTGGAAGTTCATTCCACCAGCGGCACCACACATGGGTGGTGTGTGGGAGAGATTAGTAGGCACCGTAAAAGATGTTTTATATTCCATATTGAGAGGAAGAACTACTAGTGACGAACTATTGCATGCTGCGTTAATGGAATCTGAAATGGTGGTTAACTCTCGGCCTCTAAAGTTTTTTACCTACTTGAAACTCACTGTCATCGAGGCGATCGCTGATTGGCAGTTCTACTTTGCTATCGGGAGAAGTTCGGACAATTTACAGGCGAGTATTGGCATAGACTTTTTTGGCAGTGGGGAGACAAAGTCAAGTTTTTTAACGTAGCTAAAGTATTACTGAATATTTGATATAAATTGTTATTTACATTATAATACAAAATAAAGGGCACGTTTAAAAAAGTCAACACCACTCTTCGAAATACAAAGGCTATACTTAAAAATTACATAGGTGTAAATATTTTCAATTCTCCCAATTTTTGGGTTGATGTTACTATTGCTCCAAAAATGGTTTTCGCGAAATTATGCAATGAAGCTCAGGCGAAAAATTAAGAAAATCGAAAATGTCATATATCATTTCAAGACCTGACGAAACCGTAATCACGTTTTTTTTACTAATAATGTTTAGCAAGAGATAAATAAAAAAGGAAAAATACCAAATNAATGTCATATATCATTTCAAGACCTGACGAAACCGTAATCACGTTTTTTTACTAATAATGTTTAGCAAGAGATAAATAAAAAAGGAAAAATACCAAAAAAATGATAAATACCTTTACGTAAATAATCTATGACACTTAGAGTATTGATAACAGTGGGAAAATCCACGTCTTTTTATGGGTTCAACGCCAAACGCAACTAAACTGATTGGCCGATATCCCGCCGTTTCCAGTATTTCTTTCGAAACGTACCGTTCGTAGAGGAGTGTGAGTAAAGGATGTGAAATTTTGTAATTATGACTTTTTTCTCTTCCCTCTCTAAGCCCAATCATACTAGAGAAGAAAGATTTGACTTATTTGAAAATTTTCCTTCAAAAATTTCTATAAGACAGACGAATGTCAAGGAAATAAAGGAAATAAAGCTAGAAAGCGGTTTTATTACTTCACATGTTTATAATGANTCTAAGCCCAATCATACTAGAGAAGAAAGATTTGACTTATTTGAAAATTTGCCTTCAAAAATTTCTATAAGACAGACGAATGTCAAGAAAATAAAGGAAATTAAGCTAGAAAGCGGTTTTATTACTTCAAATGTTTATAATTTCACCATGCTCCAAACTCACCAGTTTTTTTTTTATCAACTGTCCCATGACTTTTCCACCTGCCACCATATAGTTGAAACACTGTGTCGTGCTGAAATAAGTAAGTACTATGTATAAGTATACAGATTATTCTTTATTACACGAACAAAATTGTACACAATATTTTCTTCACGATGATATTTGATTAAGTGAAAAAGTGACGGGACTTATAAATATATTTAATACTTAAATTTACTTAAGTATTCCGTGCGCGCAATATCTTTAGTTAGATTTGTATTCTTAAATTGAGAGTTGTATTCATACATATGTACCCTTGTAGTCAGCTGATTAAGTCAAGTGACATTTTGACTAGTTTTGGCTCCTTTTCTTTTGTTTATTTAATGTATATATATATTTTTTTATATATAAAAGTCTACATAAAAGTCTCTAATAATTTTTTTTGGCTGACGGTGTTGTATATTTTCTTCCATATAAAGTATGCTCGACAATTTCGTTTGAAAGGGAGGAAATGCCTAGCACCATCAACAACAAAAATTGTTAAAAATCAACGCGATTTTCTAGCGCCTTGAAATTTGCATTCAACCTACTTAATTTTAATGAGCTACAAAACTGCATACCCAAAATTTTTCTAGGAATCTGAGTAAAAAGTTTAAAATTTGTTGGTGCAAATGTTAGGGTTTGTTGAATTTTCGTAATTTTTGCATGGTACAAGTATAGGAAGGTAGAACCGCAGAGACACTTAGATTTTTTGACGTTTGGTTCTACCTTACTATGTTTTTATCATGAATTTTTGTAGGAAATTTTCAAATGTGAGTTATGTGGCGCTGGTTAGGTAAAGTGCTAAACTTTTATAAAAAAATTTAAACATTATATAAATAAAAGAAAAATTTCTAAAACTAGTCAAAATGTCACTTGACTTAATCAGCTGACCACAAGTGTATGTATGTCTATTGGGGTGGTCCAAAAATCTATGTGAAAATGTAGTCAGAATTTGGTGCTCTCAACACCCGGGATTATTCTGTATCGAAAAAATATACCCCTTTTTTAGAAATAAAAAAGATATCTACAGAACGCTCAAAGTTTTCCATATATTTTAAATGAAAAACAAAAAACAATTTGCCTACCGAAAAATCTTGATTTTCAAGAATTTTGTACCATTTCTACGAAAAATTGTTTTTTCCCATATAAAATTCACGGAAAACTAGGATATTTTTTTATTTCAAATTAAAATTAAAAAAAGGTATATTTTTTTTCCGCACAGAACAATCCTAAGGGGATTAGAGCATTACAATTCCGACTTTACTACCCTAATGTATATAGATAAATGTATATTCTTAACTAGGGCTTAGTCTTAAAGTTAATTACACATATAGTGTTAGTAGAAATTTGAAGGAACACATTAAAGGCTATTTAGATTGGGCTCTCTTAATTTAGTTAAAGAACTTATATGTACCCAGCAAACACGGTCTCTAATGCCGAATTTCCACTAGGCATTAAAATGCCAAAAAATGTATGCTATTTAAAAAAGTGCCATGTGAAAATGAACTTACTGTCAATTCGTTTAACGTAATGACACGATCACTTTTTAATGCCCGTCTTTGTAATTTTTGCCATTTAATGCCTAGTTGAAATCCAGCATAACGTTAGAAAAACGTTTCTAATGTAGTTCTCGAATCGAAAATCAGGGCATGAATCACGTATGACGACAATCGTTTGGACGATATCGTGTCGAGATTGTCTTGCTTCATGAAAACTAAAACTTATTTGATCNAAAAACGTTTCTAATGTAGTTCTCGAATCGAAAATCAGGGCATGAATCACATATGACGACAATCGTTTGGACGATATCGTGTCGAGATTGTCTTGCTTCATGAAAACTAAAACTTGTTTGTTCGTTATCAACACGATTCTAATTTTGCTTCACGTAACACGTAACTGCAACACAAATATATGAATCAGTGTTTTGACGAAATCGTTTTGTCAGCATCGTTTGAACGACTATCGTTGCAAAGTTACGTGATTCATGCCAGGTTAGAGTACTATCTTAGAACTAGGTTAGAGAATGATACGAAAAACACTAGGCACTAGACATTGAAAACCAATTAGAATTCAACGTTAGAATACGATTCGATATCTAACCTATCGAGAACTAAGTCCCCTTTTTGTAGAGAATGCTAAAGTTCTCAACAATTTCTGTAATCTAACCTTCTACTTTAGAAAAACACTTTCGAATTCGAATCGCATTCTAATCGCTCTCTAACCTAAATGTTTGTTGGGTAGTCTGATGGGTCATATACAAATAGTTGTATCATTCTGGCAACCGTACATTGTACTACGAATAGCAAATATCTGTAACGAAATATTAGATACATATGTAGTCATAATTTAGTATACATTTTATCAAACTCTCACCTGGCATATCGTACAAGTTAAGATTTTTTCTTAATTATACAACGTTTTGTCTACCACTATGCCGTTCTCGATTAAAAAGCTTTCAACATCCGATGGGAAGAAATCATCTGATAAGTCATCTGTGACCCGCACGAAATTTCCGATCAATGCCTGTGCTTTATAGACTAGTAAAGCTGGCAGCCCCTTGGAACGGAAGTCTCGACTCATTCCAGCAACAGAACTACATATCTTACCAAACTTTATGAACGAATACTCAGTTGCAAGCGTATCAAGACAACGATTCAGAGTAGAACAAGCGCTCACATTCTTATCGTAAATATGTATAATAACGGTGGTGTGTTTGTTTTCTTTTTCAACGAAGTCTAAAAATTCTTCGTGCGTTGTTAAGTTGATAACTTTCCCAAATTGCTTTATATGACCGCATTGCCGGAGCATCTCAGCCATTCGTTGCTTTTGATATTGTTGTAAAAAGTCTTCACTCATGAGTTCATCTAATTCAGTATCAATTTCTTCTTGGCGCTTCCGTTCTTCTTCTTCCTTGGCAGTTGCTGTGGCCATTGTAAGCTTTTTGGCCAGTTCTATACGCTGACGTTCAGACTCTTCGCGTTTTTCTGCTTGAAGTTGTTTAAAACGTTGCCAATCCTGCACCACACCTTTAGGACCAGTGTTCGTAGAGACTTGAGAACGATACCCCTCAGCGGGTGTTGGGGGACAAACATTCGGGTCCGTGTAACCAGCAGCTCCTTGTTTACTACCGCTAGAACCTCTTCCACAGGTCTCATCATCACCGTCACCATTGTCTTCTCCTTCGCTACTGCTACAATAATACTCTAATTTTTCTCCCATCAATTTATCCTCTAACGTTGCCATTTTTAAGTTAATTGTTATAATTGGTAGTGATTTATATTTCAATTTCAGTAAATTTAATTATGTGCTGTTTATGAGCTTTCTTCCTAATACACCGATTGACGTTTAATAAAACAGCTGATCAATAAGGCTAGCAGTCAAGCATGATAGAATACAAGATTGCGCCGTCCTGGGCGTTGACATTTGTGTACCACAAGTAAACAAAGAATAGAGCGAAAAGAAGAACGAGTTAAAATTTCCAAAACAGTTCATTTTACAGTGAAAAACGTGTTTTAATTTTGCTAAACGCGAAAATATTGCATTTTTCACCTAATCTATTAGAGAATAGGTAACATTTTAGTGCACTCCATTGCTTTGCAAGTGAGGCTGCTTCAGCAAACGTTTTAGTGCACTCCATTGCTTTGCAATTAAGACTGCGGCAGCATCTCCGCGGGATTGATTGGTTAACTTGCTAATGGAGGCTGCTTGGAGCAGAAGCAAAATCATTGTGAGGAAATGCTGTTAATGGCATAATAAAGAAACATTTCGAGAGCGGTTTTGCCGTGCCCTATGTACCCAAAATGCAGCGATTCGTCCCAGCGCTACACTTGCATCTACGCATCTTGCATCTTGACGGCTGTCGCAATTTAACACACAGCACTTCATTTTATTAGTTTTTACGCAGTCTTAAGGCTCTGTTATGCATACTTGGCATTGCATGCACTGCTATACCATTTTTACGTAGAAATCAAAAACCAACAGACTTTTACGTATGTAATGCTGTGCGTTGGGTAACCGCTTACACGCGAAGCTCATTTAACAGATTCTTTATGTGACAACGCTCAAGCAATGCCAAGTATGCATAACGGAGCCTTTACACTCAAAAATCACTCACAGNTCTTCAACTCAAAAATCACTCACAAATTGCAAATTAACACAATTTAAACAGATTTTTCACATATAATTAAATTTCTCTTTCGGTGATTTGTAAACAAAGATTTGTTTACAAGTTACCACAACTGTCAAAATCGGCAAAACCAAAGTAGCGGTACCACTGACGGCGCCACCTCTGTTCGCTGCACCGTGGCTAGCAGTAGGGCACTTCAGGGATGGAATTACAATATTTTAAAATGTACCTAATGGAATGCAAAAATAGTGCCATAAAGGAGATGAAAGCGGCACAAAATTGAGATTGATTTTCTTTAAGGCTTTTTAAGAACAACGTATGTGTTTTTAAAAATAGTATTTTTAGTGTACTTCATTAAATTATTATAGTAAAATCCTAGTAAAATAACACAATATTCCAATTACGAAGGGGAAAAAACACTGAATTATAGCTGCTCGGACCTGTTTACACATACACATACCTATGTGCGAAATAGTAGCAGTGCGACATTTTGACCAGTTTGGCTATTCTTTTTTACATTGAATATTTTTTATTAATTTTATATAATGACCCTTATTTTAATTTCTAACTGATTTTAATTTTCACTTTTCGCATTGTTCGTCATATACTGGCAAAGTTTCTATATATTATGATAGTGTCAAAACTGAATGAATTGTGCCAAGAGCGCCTTTGTGAAGAAAGTGCCAAAAATGGCACTATTGGGCCTACTTTTCCATCACTGGGGCACTTTCCGAAGGCACAGGGTGCACAGAAGTTCTTATTCACTGTTTACACCAAATATTTGATACACCAGATTATTTGTTCAATTAAAAGAGGAAAGCAATCGCGTCACATGAAATTTTTCAAGCAAAAGTTAAAAAAGAAAAAAGTATTTGGTGTAATTGAATAATAAGTTTATGAAAATCAAGGGTACACTTCATGATCACCACCGCAACTTGATGCAAAGTAATCAAAAGGGGTAACAAAAGACGCGTATTACTGCCAGTATAAAGAATCCGAGGCGGAAACTGATTTCTTTAAACCATTCAAAAGTTATTTGCAAAAAACCGTTTCATTCAGCTCAACTTTGTCAGTACTAAATTCACGTTAATAAATACATTATCTAGATGTTCACTATAATTTACTTTAACTAAATTTGTAACAAAAAAATCGCGAAACTTATTGATTTATTTAAATATTAATGCGAAAACAATGTAAAAAACCGGCATCTCCTTCATTCTGCTAGTTGAGCTAGGTGTAATAAAAACATGGAGGTGCTTGGCCTCGTAAATATATTACTTTTCGAGAAGGTTTTAATGTGTGAAAGATTTTAAGTTATTTATAATAAAAAACTGGCAAAACTCTGCATAGGCGGCCTTCGGCCGCACTTAGGGATGATAACCCTTACTATGCAGAATTTTACTTACTGTGCAGAAAAGTTCTGCCAGTTTTTTTTTTATTATAAACCACTTTAAATCTCTCATATTTATTGTAATTAAAACTTTCTCTAAAAGTAATGTATTGCCGACACCAAGCACCTCCATATTTTTATTACACTAGATGAAAATTTTCGCCTTCGGATTCCTCATACTGGCAGTAATACGCATCTTTGGTTCCCATTTTTGATTATTTTGCAATCGGTGGGGACCCTGAAGTGCACAATTACCCTTGATTTTCATTAACTTATT